CTTGTATGAAAATTTATTGTCGAAAGTTGATTTAAATCACTGGAAGTGACCATAACTCAGGAATGAAATATACCATCGTATGCACTTGCGTGCATACATACTGATATTTGGTTGTCTACACACGTACGCTTCCCCCCTAAACTAAGGACTCTTGGGTAAGTTATCGTCCAGAACGCGTCTAACATGGCGTAAAACTCCTGTAGGAAAACTCCTTTACCCTATTTGCAATATATCTGTATCTGTCTACTACGTTTTAGTAAGGAACACGTATCATATCTACCAGGCAGCACCTGTCTGGGTAACTGGAAACAATGAAAAATTCATGCTGAAAGATAATGTCCGGGGAGTTTACCTTATATACTAGAATCTTATATATGCATATAGTCATATTTCAGAAACATTTCTCCCTACTGAGATGGAAATTTTGTAATATATTTTTAATGTCTTCATAATTTTTTTTTTTTTATATCGAAACAGCCGCGCAGGCAGAAGCCTAAATGCCGGAACACCGCGGCTGCCATGATGATCCCAAAGAAATTTTGTTAATACGATTTTTGAACTGCCTAAGGTTAGAAGAACTGGGAAAAGCTTCCTCCCGTAGATTATTCCACAATCTAGACACCCTCGGGACAAAGGAGCGGTCGTATCGGCCAGTTCTGGATGTACGAAGTTTGACACGGTTAGGATGGGACGCCGAAGTCAGGCGAGTCTGTCTGGCAGGCACATCGCGTGGCGGCATCATGGAAGAGAGCTCTGAGGAGCAAAGCCCGTTGGTGTAGCGATAGAAAAGAGCTAGATCGCCGACGGCCCGCCGGTGCGAAAGAGTCCCGAGACTGTCTGTTAGGGAAGAGTCATCGATCAGTCGGACCGCCCTCCTCTGGACAGCATCGAGCATGGACAATGTAGTCGGGGCGGCAGCACCCCAAATGTGTGAGCAATACTCGAGGCTAGGCCTTATCTGGGCCTTGTATAGAGTGAGAAGGTCATGCGGAGAAAAGTACTTCTTAGCAGTAAACAAATAGCCTAGCTTTTTCCCAGCAGCTGCAGCTATTGAAGAGATGTGTTCGTGCCAGATCAGGTCCTCGGTGATCTGGACTCCGGCCAGCCGAAATGAATGGCTCTTTGGTAGAACTCGACCGTCCATCGAAACTGTATGAGCGTTAGGACGCTTTTTGTTCGTCAAAGTACAGTACTGTGTTTTGGAAGCATTGAACTGTACAAGATTGTTGCGTCCCCAAGCAGTGATAGCCTCCAGGTCTCTTGTCAGAGAAGAAGTCGTCGCTAGTCTTCTTTTTTCCAGCTCAGCGGCAGAGATCGGCTTGTCACTCTGAAATTCTAACCTTTACAGTTATCATAGGCGTGCTGATCTATTTTTTATTTTGAATAGCTCAGGAAACAATTAAAATAAAAACTTAGGAATGATACGAATGAGAGACAAACGATGAATGAATACCTATTCTCGAGATCAGTTGATCTGATTTTGGGAGTTTTATCTGCAAATCTTCAGAGGCGCATACCTAATCATCCTTCAAGGGGTTCATGTTCCAACTGATCTGATGAAGATATGGCCACCGTAGTTTGCTTCCGTGGTGTCTTACTAGCCCAGCATTCTTTTCAGGAGACTGAAACTTTGCTTATAATCAGCTCCAACTAAAATGTTCGATAACCAATCATAACAACTACAGGTCTGTCTACGTACAGCTCTGCTACTTGTGAGCATATAAGATAATGGAGAAGTGCATCAACTGGAGGCCACCTTAGCTTACATGGAGTTGTGTCATTGGGTCATTTGTTGATGCCGACCATCGAGATATAATACAAAAGGAAACGCTATTGTCATATAAATAAATCATTAGGTGACGGTGTCGTTTTAATTTGAGTAGTTCCCATTTGTTGAAAGTTTAGTTCCAAAAGTGAAGAATGCTGCTCTAAAGAGTTTTCTACAGGTACATCATGTTGTGCTTTGCTGGGTGTATTTGAAATTATTATGGGAATATCTTCAGCAATGCCTATCGAAAGGGATAAATTTGTACAGTCAATAATTCCTGTAACATCAATTTCATTGTTATTGTTTGCCTTCTCAACAAATGCGCCTTTGACATTTGAGCCTGCCTGAAATTCAATGTCTACTTCTAATTGATCATTTATCAATTTATTATTTTCATTGATTTCTGTGGCATCTATTTCGTTGTGAATTTCTACGTCTGTAAATGTATCTTCCATAATAAAGTCTTCTTGAATTTCATTTTCACTTTGTACTAGATCAGAAGCCTCTATTGCATTGTTGTTGCTATTCACTGTTTTGATCTTCATTTTCTTCCAGAGTGAAAACAGGCTAGTGTGCTCTACTGGGCCTTCCCAAAGTGGACCGGAAAGCAGAAATGATCTAAGAGTCTCTTTTGAGATGTATTGCTCTACACATCTTAGGACTGCTTGTGCTTCTTTAGGCTGTTCATGGTTCTCTTGATGTTTTTGTGCTGCGATTACCTTTTTAAAATATTTAGAAAATTTTATATTATCAACATTAAAGGGAACAAGTCCGCAGGTCCTGAAGCCATTCTTAATTATATCGGGAATATTTGTCATTTTTTGAAAAGTGCATTCCAAGATGGGCGCAAAGAAGTCTTTGGTAATCTTCTGCCCGTGGTTCTCCATTCTCCATCGGTGCACGCTCTTTTTCCATTCAAGCTTTAATGGTCGAAATACGGCCACATCTAGAGGTTGTAAAATATGTGTAGCATTTGGGCAAAGAGCTATAAGGATAATATCATTTTTACTACAAAATTTACTGAGGGCCATAGTTAGGTGGGATGTATGTCCATCCAAAAACAATATAACCGGAAACTGAACTTTTTGAGCAACTAACCAAGGGTGAAATATATTAGCGATGTACTCGAAAAAGGTTTCACCAGTCATCCACCTATTTTGAGACTTTCCGATACCCCAGTTTCCTGGAACTTTTTCGACAACGGAGTTGGGAATTCTTTTGTAATTATAAACGATCATTGGCGGTAAAATTTGACCGGAGGCACTACACGTAACCAAAGTCGTCAGACATTCCTTCTCATTATTGCTCACAAATGAGTAAACTGTTCTATCCCCCTTTTTAACTAAAACTTTGTCTCCTTTGGGTGTGAGGAAAAAAGCCGTTTCATCACAATTGAATACACGACCGGCATCAAAAGTTATGTTAAGATTGTTTGTGTTTTCTAAGAAGGTCCCTACTTCTATAAACCACTGACGAATGCGGTTTTCTGTTAGGCTGTTTCTAACACAAGTGAGGTTTTGGGAAATCCTTGAAGCCAGTTCTGGGTGCCTTTTTAAAAATAATTCGTACCGTCCGTCCAGGCCTGCCATCTGCGAAATTATTAGGCCTATCCAATTGTTTAAGCAAGAGCTGAACACTATCTAACAACTGTGTTTTTGTTGCTGGAAATCCATATGCTGCAATCCGAAATAACCATTCCACCAGTAAATTTTCTTCTTCCCTGGTTAATATGGTCCCTGGTCCACATTTCTTGTCTAAAAGTGTTCTTCCTTTTACTTTGTTCTGTAGGGTCGATCTGGGTACGTTGTATAACTTGCTAGCTGCTTTAAATGGCATTCCTGACTGAACAGCGTTAACAGCTTTATTTATATCTTCGGTAGAATATTGAAGTCGTTTAAGCTTGTCCATTGTGACGTAATTTTAATCTGAAAAAAAGAATCTCCAATTATCGACACCTTATGTTCATATTATCGGCACTTTTATTAAACCTCAAATTTAAGCTAATTCTAGTAGATATATAGAGTGCCGAAAATTGGTGTGACATCTCATCGATGTATGCTGCATATAATAACCAAACATTTTTTATGATAAATTAAGAGCTGAAGCTAAAATTGGCCTAAATCCAGTACAATACGTATAACCAATTATCGGCATATCTGCCGAAGATTAGATCATCAATTATTGTTTACGTACCCATTATCGGCACCCATAAAATACACAAAAAAACCCAAAGAAAAACAGTTTTTTACTAGCAAATAACAAAAATAATAATTCCTAAACATATAAAACTTAATCAAACATTTACACGAAACGTCTATCAACAATTACAACACGATAATGGCTTACCTGTTTCTTAACACTTGCAACAAGAAACACTTCAGACAAGAGTTTGGCGCGAACTGACCAGTATATTTTTGACTATGGTTATTACCGAAATTGGCCGACAGTCATTCGGTTCTGCAGAGGCGTAGACAAAGGTTCGCAGAAATTGGTGAAATAGTTTTATCCAACAATTTTGTGATAGAAATCTTATTTTTCGGGATTATGTAGAATTTGTGCCGATAAAAGGAGTAGTGCCGAAAATAGGGACGTTTACCTTATTTGATTTGATTGCATTTATGCTAGATGTAAATGATATCATTTGCTACACTTAAAAAGAAAAGAAAAAATCTATCTAATATACAGTGAGTCCATTTACTTCAACATTTGTGTTTCTTGACCGATTTTCATAAAGTTTTTTTTGTTGGATGGTCAATAATGTCAGTTTGCGGATATTCAGTAAAATGTAAGACAGGACCCAATACTGTATTCAAGTTTTAAGAGCGAAGAATCGAGAATTACACCGTTTTATTATTCAGGATCACCTAAAACATATGTTCACCAAATTTGGTTGTGATAGTATACTGTAAGTTGGAGTCAAATTTTTAGAGGTGCAATAGATTTCTTAATTAACTACGAGTTTTTTTAAATATTTGTTCTTATGGCATTTCTTTCTCAAGATTCATATATCGCATCTTTTGAAAACCAAACTTGGTAAACATGTGTTTTAAGTGGTACTGAACAATAATGTAATTTTTTTCAGATATCACTAATCGTACTTCTCGACTTTTGGCACGTGGAAATTGAATACAGTAGACTGGGACGAAATTACATTTTTTTGTTGTTAAAAATATTAGGCCTAATAAAATCTATTAGATACATGTTTATTATCCAAATATTTTTAAGTAATTTAGTTTTTGCGTGCCTACATAAATAAAAATTAGGTTTGGAAATAATCTTTATTACATAAATATATGGATTACTGCACTCTAAATAATAGAAGCTTATTGCTATGATGTCTTATACTACCTGCTTGTTTCTGTAGAAGGGATGAGTCGAAAGTAGGTCTTAATATTTGATAGTACTAGGTGGTGATTCTTCCTAAAATAAAACATTAACGCTCATTACTTCTAGACATTTATGAAACCTAGAATTTACATTAAAACATGCATTTAAGATGACATTATATCAAGGAAAACTACAAAAAGGACAAAAAACATAAGGACTCTTTTGAATTAAGTATACAGAATATTTTAGGAAACAAACATGATTTTATTAACATACCTAAACTGAAACCAAATTCAAGATGAGATGTAAATAACATCAGTTAGCGCGTGATCTCTCGGTAACAGGTGGGGACAACGCCTCTTATTGGTCAATTAGCCATTAAATTTCAAGCGTCCGCCTGGCGGAATAATGCGCGGGGCAGGGGCAGGGCAGGCAGAGTTGCATTCAGGCCACCGACCGTCGCGTGTATCACTGCGTGCTCGTGTTTTCGTATTCACCTTGCTTGGTTGTTGCTGCTGTTGTTGTTAAGTGTATTTGAGTAATTTGTTAAGTTTCTGTTTGTTATTGTTATTCCTCGTTATTATTTGTTTTGAACCAATCCTGAACATGCCCAGTACAGATACTGCTGACGAGGCTGTAGGCTACTCCCTTAGCCCTCCTAGAAAGCGATAAAAAAAAGACATCTTAGCGAAGACATGAAAGACGTCATATTGAATACATTCAAGATAGAGCGGAAGGAAGACGAAACATCAACTAACACGAAAATAGCTCTGAAAGTGGCAGATAAAATAGGGGTATGCCAAGCGACAGTGTACAATGTTTTGAACGAACATAAGAAAAAGCATGCCTGTTCCAAGCCAATGACGGGTAAAAATCGTATCATAAGGTCGTTGGATGACGCCGACAAGCATGCGATTCGGAGGAAACTGCACGAATTCTTCTTCAGAAACGAAATACCGACAGTTGATAAAGTACTACGGGAGGTTAACGAGGATGCTATGTTACCAAATTTCAAACGTTCGAATATTCATAAACTTTTGAAGCATCTTAATTTCGAATGGAAGAAACGAGGTCGAAACAGCTTACTTATGGATAGAGAAGAAATTGTTCTGTGGAGGAGAGAGTACCTGACCAAAATTAAATCATTCAGGGATCAGCACAGGAAGATCTATTACCTGGACGAAACCTGGATTAACGCTGGGCACACTACTCCGAAGGTATGGGTTGACAAAACTGTGACTTCATCCAGAAGGGCCTTTCTAGATGGACTGTCGACCGAATTGAAAAATCCAGCAGATCGAAGTAGTTCACGGTATCAAGTTTTGCGCACAATATCTCTCTATCTTCGTACCTACAAGACGTGCATGTGTACTTAGCGGATTTTATCTTTCTAGGCAAAGGAAAAAGGCTCATTATTTGCCACATTGGGGGTGTAGATGGCTTCGTAGATGATGGCTTATGGTCTTTTGAGTAAAAAAAAAACACTGACTACCATGAAGAGATGAATGGGGAAGCATTCGAGAAGTGGTTTTCAGGCATTTTACCACGTCTCGACAATTCTGTGGTTGTTTTGGATAATGCTCCCTATCATTCTCGCAAAATAGAAAAAATCCCAACTTCAGCTTCTAGGAAATCAGACATTCAGAGCTGGCTCCGTTCCAAAAATATAACTTTCGACCCTTCCTTACTGAAATTACAACTATTAGATATTGTGAAACAACACAGACCAAGACATGATAAATATGTATGTCATAGATGAAATGGCACACCACAAAACAGTACTCCGTTTGCCGCCTTACCACTGTGAGCTCAACCCCATTGAGCTCATATGGGCAGATGTTAAGAATTTTGTTGCTGCACACAATACAACATTCAAATTTTCTGACATGCAAGAGCTGTTCAGAATTGCTATACAGAGGGTCACACCAGAAAGATGGCAAACATGTGTGCAGCATGTTCAGGAGAAAGTTTAGGTAGCAATGTGGGAGCTGGACAACATAATTGAGAGAGATTTTGAATCCATCATTATAAACATTAATGACTATAGCTCTTGAAGTCTGAGTAAGTTTCGCGTTTTTGTGTTGTCACAGAATACATATTATGGGAATCCTAGTTATAGTGAAATATTAACTTACAGATAAACTACAGACAATACAAGTCCATTCCATGCACAAAATCTCTACCCCTCGTTGACTACAGATTCATTGTGCATAGTGAGCAGCTGGTTACCTCTGGTATGTATTTCTCCATGTTGTCTAGTTTGAAAAATCTATAGAAAAACTTAGCACCCCTTCAAGAATAAAAATTTGATTTTGCGACACCCTTAACTATAACTACTTCACTATATTAGATAATTTCGTTAAATACTGTCATCTTTGTTTTACAACACGTTGGTGGTAGTCCATCATTCGGAGGTAGCCCTGAATGCGGCCCTGTATGCCGTCCTTGCTTTTGGCAATCACGCATCCATTCTGTCTTGGGTGTAAATACACTATACCTGGTTTAGATGTATTGTCGGAACATCATTTAGTTTGAGATTAACATAACATTTTGATGTTCTATCGAATGACTCCTCAGAAAAATGTTTCGAGCAAATAACACTAGATCTTGTAGGTGTCCATTCACCCCTATTAACAAATTTCACCCAAAGTTGGCAACGGTCAGCGTTTTTAGGCAATCTACAATTAATAAATATATTCAAAATAAAAATATTAGTTGGCTCAACTCATCAAGATAAGTTTTTTTAAGAAAATCAAGCACCTTGACATGCATTTTATGAAAATAATACAATCTCATCTAGTTAGGTCAGCTTCACTGAGAGGTATTAATAATAAGCCTAATAATTTTGACAAACACGATTTTCTATAATAAACAATAAAGCCGAAATAAAATGTATACCTAGGCACGTCTCTGTAATATGTTTATACTAACCTATGGAAAGTTTTTTCTGTTGTATTATTTTCATCCACTTCAGTCCGACTTGCACAACTCCGTAGAGCACAAGACCCCATAATAATATTCTTCAATTTGTGCAAACAGTATCACAAAAGCCTCTGAATTTCAAAAACAAGTACAATTAACTGCAACAAAATCCAAAACAACTCGCATAACGCATTTTGACCTAACTTTGACAGAAGTCAGTCATCAATAATTATGGCGTACCCGGTGTCGCTCAAAGTCACGTGATTTCGTCTCCTCTTTTATTATATCTCGCTAATGCCGACGCATAGTGGACTGGAATACCGAAAATCTGTCAAAAAGTTCAATTTCAATGGTATTTACACGATGTACTGTCACGTGCCCAAATCACGTAACCTATTATTTTACATCATGTAACCCAATAGGTTCATGCGGTTTTTAGTAGAAAAATATAAATTTTTATTGAGAAACAATAAGACACTATTTATTCGTCGAAGTAATTGCCACCACATTTAATGACCCTTTGGCAACGTGGAACCAATTTTTGTATGCCGGTATTGTAGAACTCCATGGATTTGGAGTAAAAAAATTGGCGGACTGCATTTATTACACCATCTCGAGTTGTAAATTGTCGGTGCCTCATACAGTTGTCAAGAGATGATAATCACTGGGCGACATGTCGGGAGAATATGGCGGGTGCGGTAACGTTTCCCAGCCGAGCTCAGAAATTTTTTCTCTGGTCACTTTTGCGGTATGAGGCTTGACGTTATCCTGCAATATCACTTTCTTTCGATTGATCAAAGAAGGCTGTTTCTGGATGAGTGCTGCTTGTACTCGTTGAAGCTGCTCACAATACAAGTTAGCAGTGATGGTTTGACCCCTTTCCAAAAACTTATACTTAATGGACAATTCTAGTTGGTGTCCACCAAACACACAACAATACCTTGTTTGGGTGCAAGGAAGCCTTGGGCGTGTGTGGTACCGAATCAGTAGGCGACAACCAATGATACGAACGCTTAGAATTCGAAAACAAGATCCATCTTTCGTCCCAGGTTAATAACCTATTAAGAAATGGTTCATTAGCGTTGCGTGAAATGTTTGCTGAACAAATGGTAAGAGGATTTAATTTGTTATCATTTGTCAGTTCATGTGGGACCCATTTGTTTAACTTCCACGTCTTTCCTAGCAGACGAAGATGCAAACGAATAGTTTCAGGACTCACTCTGAACATTTCTGCAAGTTCTTGGCACGTTGTCCTGGAATTTGCGTCCACAGCCAGTCGAAGATCCTATCGATCAACAACATCCATGGCAATGTGCGATATACAGCAACCGCACGAACTTATTTGGTTACCATTTTGATCACCTACTAGTAATTTGAATTCCTCTTGATTAATGCTAGAGTTCCTAGGCCAAACCCTTTTTAATGATTTTCTTTTGGTAAATTTCATAGCTTATTGATTGTATAATTTTACACGTAACGTTATTATATCTTTCTTTCTCATTGATTCAGTATTGTGTTAAAAAAAACTCTGTGTTTTTTCTCCGTTATTTGGCTTCCTATCGAACATATCTTCTTCAAGGCCACTCATTGAAACTTTTTTATAAAGTTAGGTGTTGCATATCAGTCACTTTCCTCCTGAGATTGTGGTGTGAGCGCCATTTGTTTAACCAGTTTCTGGTATATTAGGTACCGATCACCTGTTTGTGGAGTAGTACCTCTTTATATTGTATCTTACGATTAATTGTTTTGGTTTGGGTGCTACTCCGTCCATTTTCTTATGGGATTTTAATCTTCAGCGGTAAGTCTTATAATGTCTGTTTTCTTTTAGTGAGAAGGCATTGCGCCACCACACTCTCATCCAGCATTGTTTTATAGCTTTTTTGCAGCTGATATTGCCGGAAGCCACCCCTTCCTCTTGACAAAAAAAAACCTGATGTGAACAGGTAAAATATCATTTTAATTGACTATTTCATAGACATTATTTGTATATTGATTATTGCTGACTGAAATTCTTAAAGTGTACTTGATTTTGTTTGGCATTTTGCGTGTTTAAATATGGGGCAGTGCCTACATGGCACCTTCTATTGAGCATTACATTACGTTGATCATGATTTTGATTTAGGAGCTGCCATAACTTTATTTTAGAAACAAGGGATCATCTGAGGGTATATCACTTTAGTACATTTTTATATTTATTTTACCTTTGCCATACTTTTCTTGCAAAAAACTTGTACATGATTTTTCTTCAAGTTTGAGCGTTTTCAATGAGTAGTTTTGTCTCGAACAGAGAGTGGAGAGTAGATTTTTAAGCAGTCTTTTTCTCTCTAGGTTTTTTTTTGGGTTATGCCGTAAATTTAGGAAGACGAGGCAAGCAACCTTGTGACGTGCCCACTACTGGCCACCGTTTTTCTTTTGACCTGTACATTTGTGAGCTGAGGACATCTCTTCTGCCGAGAAGACCTCAACCCAGATAAGTTTAGGTTTAGGCGCTAAAATATCTGTAAAGCGTGTGCCATGGTAAACGTTTCGCGGGGTTATTTATCACGGTCAAGTAATATTATTGTGCGGTAGTTTTCTGCTTTCTTTTAACTAGCACTCCAGTGATGGAGCATTTGTTCTGTTTGCTGAGTTAATATATTGTGTTATTTTTTTAATATCTTGTTTTATTTGGCTCTCTGTATACAATTAATTAGGTTGTGTCATTACTGTGAGATTCTTTTCTTTTGTGTGGGTGATCAGGAAAAGCAAGTTCCGATTAACATCTCGAGGATTTGTGGCTTAATCGGTCTTAAGTCACTGGGCGGATTCATATTCAGATGTTCAAATATTTTCAAAACACAACACAACGAATGATACAGAAGCTCTCCAATTTTGCCAGTAAAAAGTAGTGCCGAATGATATACCAAAAACTTCAAGTTGAATGGTAAAGGAAGTGTGACCAAAGTTCTATTCCCATGGCCAACATATGCAAGGTATTAACTTTGACAGTGTTATTCTTCGTTCATTTTCGATACTTTTCCAATGTTTGCATGGATAGATCACTGTGCGACGTGATTACTCATACTCTTGATATTATAGCAAATATTACACCGCTCTTAGAAATGCTTTCGTAGTTGGTTTATCCTTTACACGAAAGACGGTAACATATCTGATTACAGAGAGAAAATGCTTTATGTTCCTCAACAGATGGCCTCAGTCATCCCGTTATGCTAACGGGTTTCGCTCCCTTGAGCTCTCCTCCATGACTTCGCTGCGCCTGCCAAGATTCTGCTCTTCACTCCAACTCTTCTTATATGTGTATATCGAGAACTAGTCGCTGGTGTCAACATTGAAGGATTTTCTCCAATTTTATCATCCCAAAGTAGTTTAAAGAACGGATCGATAGGATATCTAAGACCTTTATGCTAGCTCCGGTAAGTCGGATTTTTTTTTGCTCAAGGACCACTCTGCCCTGGTTATCTAGAGGAGCGCTATTAGAATTTTTTTTGATCATACAAACCGGCGTTAGGGGTTAAAGTCAAAGATTTGTATTATATTGACGCAGGTCTGACGAAGTTTCACACTCCGTATATATATATATGAGCCCCTTTCCACTTCAGTTGGCCCACTTCAAGATTTTTACCAAAATATGCCTTTATAAACTAAACGTGACGAAACTATTTACTTCTAAACCAATTTATTTTCTTAAAAACTTTTTAGATACACTCTAGTCGTAAAAAATACATATTTGAAATCACTTAGACCTATAACTAATAGAACATCTGAACAAATAAAAAATGTGCAAATAAATGCGCGAAGTTAACAAAGCAACAATTGAAAGATTACCATTGGGTAACATCACCTTTATTTTTTATTACGGCTGAAATTCTTTGGGGCATAGTGCTAACCCAGTTTTGGCAAAAATTTGGTGTAAAACATTGCCATATTTCTTGAAGCTTTTGTATCAGTTCGGTGATTGTACGAGCAGGATGTTGTCGTAGAACCTTTTTCATCTCGTGCCACAAAGTTTCAATAGGTGACAGATCTGGACTGCTGGAAACCCATTTCAAAAGTAGTACATTATTTTCTTCCATCCATTTTATAGCCTTTTTTGAGGTATGGCACGCTGCACCATATTGCTGAAACACAAAATCTTGGCCGGATGTCAAACATTCTTCCATCACTGGTAAAAGCGATTCTTCTAAAATTGCCAAATATTTGTTTGTATCCACATTTCCATCAATTAAATCAAGTTTTCCTACTCCTTTTGATAACATACTGCCCCAGACCATAATGGATGCTGGAAATATCACTTTTCTCTCCAGACAGTCAACATGGAATGCTTCATTTTTTTGCGAATAACTCTACTGCAACTGTCACCAACACAAACTTCGAATCCGGCCTCATCACTCCATTGTATTGCACACCATTGTTGAGGTATCCATTGTCTATGTTCTTTAGCCCATCTAAGCCGATTTTTCTTTTGCAGTTGAGTTAATAGTGGCTTTTGTTTGGCCTATAAACAATTTGTGCAACTTTAGGGTTTTTACTTCACTCTTTTGTATAAAAAAACTTACCTTGCAAGAGCTAAATCACAGTTTGTGGGAGTCTCTATGAGTTGTGGACCTCGAAATTCTCCTTCCAACAGCGTCACTCCTCAGAGCACTTAATTGCCTGTTTTTCACGATTATTCTTCTTAATGCTCTTCGGTCGGCATTTGTGATATTACTTTTTTTCACATATCGTGGCTTAATATTAACTGAACCAGTTACGTTATATTTTCTAACAATATTTCTCACACTGTACCGCGATAAGTCTAACAAAATTGCGATTTCTGAGTTTGATTTCCCAGAATTAAAAAATTTAAGGCGGCTCCGACGCAGTGAGTTTCAGGCCATTTACAAGGGTTTAGCTGCTTCGGAATTGACGCTCCATTTTTCTATATATTTGAATAAAATTTATACAGTATGTTCAGAAGACAATTGTCCAGGGTGCTATAGAGCCACTTTTCTAAAAAAAAAAATTTTTCAGGAGTTATGGTGGGTGGAAGTGCAGATAATTGTTGTTCGACTTCTCGATTTTTTTAAAAATAACCCAGAGGAAAAAACGAAAAAGTGGCTCTATAGCACCCTGTGGAGTCTTGTTTTTAGTGCACTGTAAAAATTTCATTGAAAAATATTCAAAAATGAAGCGTCAATTTTGAAGCGCGAAAACCTCTGCAAATAGGCTTTTACCCGAATTTTATCCACTATCTCGTGCTGCCAGTCGAAGCAACGCGGCGGTGTGTACGGACTAAGAAAGGACGTATTCAGATAATTTGTTG